ACAAGGTTCAAACTACTCGTACAATGATCAATTATGCACTCAAACTTTCAAATTGTGACTCACTGTTATCAATTTTACTCAAGCTCACAATGCTTGCTTCAAATGCAAGTTCAGACTCAACAAAGGTATTCAAATGCCCACACAACAAAAATGATTCCATATTCACACAAAAATTTTCAATAATTTAAAATTTCGGAATCACTTAAAACTCCCATACTCACAAAGATGAACAAATGCATGAATTCACCCATAGGTTTTCCTTTATTTTCTAATCATCATTCATATCAGCTCAGTCAAGATCACAAAGGTCTTTTTAAGTCTTGTAACGGGGCTGAGTGTAAAGGTATGGTCATTTTGGCTTTAGTGGCTTCTATTCATGAAGTGTTGCTTGAAAATAATTTTCTCCTTTTCTTTATCCTTCAAACATGATGATAATCAACCCCATTATTCCACTAGACATGATTCACCGGATATCCCATTTCTTGTTCAATTTTCACTACTTTATTTCACAACTTTTTTTTTACATGGAGGGGTTCCATCTTTTTCAACAAGTACATCAAAATTGGGAATTCTTCACACTTCTCGACTTCCCTTCTTTTTCACGACACCACCAACTTATGCTTTTGGCCTAAGTTGGCTATTCAAACAAACCAAAAATTCATGAAGGTTATGGGTGAAGAGATAAAGAGGTCAAAGTTGTTCAAGTTTGTTCCAAGAAAAAGGTAGGCTCAAAAAATGCCAAGCAAGGTTCACACATCTCACAAGGTTGGCAACAAAGATGTATACTGTCAAATTGGCTCACTCTTCAAAATTCTTGCCGAAGATCATTTCAATTTCTCACATCACTCAATCAACCAGACCAATATGGCAAATTCTAGGTGTCATCAAGCACACTGTTCAAGGTAACCTCACCACATAATGCATTGATACAATTATCAAGAAAGACTCCACACTTTCTAGCTAGCGTGCAATACTCATCACAAGAGACTTCATTGACAATCAAATAGTCACAACAAGATGCTCAAAGTTCACATATTGCCTATGTAACTTCGTTTGCCTCATCGTAGCTGCACATTAATGTAGTTCAATTGAGAGCACTATTCAGGTTCGTTATTAACCAAAACAGACACTTGAAAATGGAAGAGAACAACAAGCTACCAACCCACCAAAAGCAACCAACATTGTCCTCAATGTATTCAAAGAACAAACAGAACACAAAATAAACAAAAGACAATAAAAATAAAATAAAAACGAGAGGCACTGACACTAAAAAATAGAGTAGGGTGAGAAGGAATCTTCACTAGGTGGCCATTTGGCGAAGGGTTGCAAAGGCCGCCGAACCAATCGGAAAACTGCCGACTGTATGAAACTCACCAAAATATCCAGATTGTTACCTCTCCAATTTTGGCAGATGGGTGATTGAGATCGGGTATGCCGAATAGCATCAACGCATTGCCTAGTGTGCGTGAAACATCATCAAAATTTCCAAGACTTCGACCTTGATGGATTGTGCAAAGGGCGGAGAAAGTAGGGCTTGCCCAATCTTTTCGGCGCATCGCCGAGTGGTATGAATACATCACCAAATATTTCAGTATCACATCTCCCTTTTGATGCCACAAAATTGAGAAAAGACGTGATCGTCAAATTCACTCGGTGGTTCACCGAAATGGTCCTGGCGTCGTAGAATCACCCATACATGCACATTCAACACACATTATTCAAAACAACTAACACTTGGTTTCCCTCCCAAGAAACGCGTTATTTAACGTCGTGGCATGACGTGGAAATACTTTGAACCATCTTCCAAATACACCACTTTGATCACTGAAATCTCATGGCATTCTCAAAAATATAACTTCAAGCCTTTCCCATTGACCTTGAAGGCTGGACCTTCCTTACCTTCAACTTCAATGGCCCCATTAGTTTAAATGGACGGGACCACTTCAACTTGAGCTTTCCCGACAAGAATCTCAATTGAGAATTGTACACCAACAAAAAGTCTCCAACTCGAAATTCTCTCCTAAGGATTTTAGAGTCATGCCCTTTCTTCATTTTCTCCTTGCAGATATCTGAACTTTCATATGCCCTAAACCTGAATTCATCCATTTTCTTCAGCTAATCTACTCTCCCTTTCGTAGCATTTACCGAATCCACATTTAATGCCTTTAATTCCCACAGTGCTTGGTGTTCAAGTTCAATCGGTAGGTGACTAGATTTCCCAAAAACCAGCTGATATGGGGACATTCTAATTGTTGTCTTGTAAGCAGTGTGATATGCCCAGAGAGCATCATCTAGCTTTTGAGACCAATTAGTCTTATTTTCATTCACTGTCTTAGCCAAGATACTCCTAATCTACCGATTTGAAACCTTGACTTGGCCACTCATTTGAGGATGATATGGCGTTGCCACTTAATTTTTCACACCGTATTTACTCAATGCGGATGCAAACAATCGGTTGCAAAAATGCGAACCTCCATCACTAATAATAGCCTGAGGGGTGCCAAATCTTGCAAAGATGTAGTGTTTTAAGAATTGAACAACACTCTTCCCTTCATTGTTGGGTAGTGCCATGGATTCCACCAATTTAGAAACATAATCCACAGCCACCAAAATATATTTATTACCAAACGAGCTCACAAATGGCCGCATGAAATCTATTCCCCAAACATCGAATAACTCAACTTCCAAAATAGGCTTAAGAGGCAACTCATGCCTTCTGGACGCCCCACCTTGTTTTTGGCATTATATGCATTTCTTGAAAAATTCATGAGCATCTTTGTAGAGGGATGGCCAGTAGTAACCACTTTGATGGATTTTAGCGGTTGTTCGCAGACCACTATGCTGACCACCAACCGGTGAAGCATGACAAGCATTTAGAATTTTTTTGACTTCCTCTTCCGACACACATCGCCGAATAATATGGTCTTCACATTCTCTGAATAGATATGGTTCATCCCAGAAATATCTTTTGACATCTAACAAGAACCGTTTTTGTTGAAAGAGGTTCAGGTCTTCACGCATTAGCCCACATACAACGTAGTTGGCAAAATCGACATACCAAGGAGTCTGCATAAGAGTGACCATAAATACATGCTCATCTGGGAATGAGTCATTTTGTCTAACTCAAGCTCCTTTTTCTCTTTGCCTCCAACCTAGATAGGTGATCGGCCACCTAATTTTTGCAATCTCTTCTATCCTTAACTTCAACATTGAATTCTTGCAATAATAACACCCATCTTATCAATTGTGGCTTAGCATCTTTCTTTTCAATTAAGTACCGCAGGGCTCCATGATCTGTATGAACTATCACTTTGGTGCCTCACAAGTATGACCAGAATTTCTCAAATGCATATACCACCACAAGTAACTCTTGCTCTGTAACAGTGTAGTTACGTTGAAAACCATTCAATGTTTTCCTTGCGTAATAGATTGGATGGAATAGTTTATTGCACTTCTGTCCCAAAACAACACCCAACATAGTCCCACTTACATCACACATCACTACAAATGGTTCCGACCAATGTGGGCTAATAATCACTAGGGTAGAGATTATTTTCTCTTTCAAACACTTAAAGGTTCCCATACATGCATCATCAAAGTCAATTTTTGCCTCCTTCTCCAACAAATTTTTCAATGGGAGTGCAGTTTTTGAGAAGTCTTTAATGAATCTCCAGTAGAACTTGGCATTGCCTAAGAAACTACGAATACCTTTTACCGAGATTGGTGGTGGTAGCTTCTCAATTACCTCAATCTTTGCCTTGTAAACCTCCAACCCCTTTTGTGATACCTTGTGACACAAAACAATACCTTCCCTAACCCTGAAGTGACATTTCTCCCAATTTAGGAGTAAATTGGTTTCCACACATCTTTGAAGACCTTGCCCAAAGTGTGCCAAACATGTTTCAAAAGAATCACCCATAATTGAGAAGTCATCTATGAAGACTTCCATTGAATCTTTTACCATGTCAACAAAAATAGACAATATGCAACGTTGAAACGTCGCCGAAGCATTACACAACCCGAAAGGCATCTTTTTGAAAGCAAAAGTACCATAGGGACAAGTGAAAGTGGTTTACTCTTGATCTTCTGGTGCAATAGAGATTTAATTATACTTGGAATAACAATCCAAGAAGCAATACCATCCACACTCTGAAAGCTGATCTAGCATTTGATCCATAAAATGCATGGGAGAGTGATAATTTTCCGTCCATGAATTTAACTTCTGATAATCCATGCATACCCTCTATCTATTTACCGGTCTCACAGAAACAAGTTCCTCTTTCTCATTTGGGACTACCGTGATGCCACCTTTTTTGGTACACATTGCACCGGACTCACCCATTTTCTATCCGCAATAGGGTAGATCACATCTGCATCAAACCAGTTGATTATCTCCTTTTTCACCACCTCTTGCATTGGTGGGTTCAATCTCCTTTGATACTCGACACTCAGTTTGCACTCACTATCAAGTTGAATCTTGTAGTGCAAATGCCAGGTGGAATACCCACAATCTCAGCGATAGTCCACCCTATAGCCTTGATGTACCTTCTCAACCCCTCAAGAAGCAAATTTACTTGTCATTCGAGCAAGTCAGATGCACTGATAATGGGCAAGGTGTGGTTTGCTCCAAAGAATGCATATAGAAGATGAGCGGGGAGCACTCTCAACTCAAGCTTTCGTGGTTCCTCCGTGGCTGGTTTGGCGGGAGGATTTTCTCGATTTTTTAGATCAATGTCTAGCTTCAATGGGTTCGTTGAATATTCACCTAATCCCAACATAGCACCTACCACTTCATAATACCCTTGAAATTTGGTCTTATCATATTTGCAAGAAAAATCTCAAGAGGTTCACTTATACACATCAAATGGCTCACACTGGCAACCGTTTCATCAATTACATCAATCGTTGAAACCACATGAATATCACTCGGATGTTTCATTGATTTACACAAATTCAAGGTGAACTCATCTTTGTTCACTCGGAACTTCAATTCACGACTGTCAAAGTGCTCTCCCGGTTGCTAAAAATGGTCTTCCCAAAATAATGGAAAATTCAGCATCAATCTCACAATCAAGAATAACAAAATCAGCCGGAAGGATGAATCGATCAACCTTCACCAATATATCATAGAGTATACCAATGGGGTTCTTGATCGACTGGTCCACCATAAAAAGCTGAATTGTTGTGGATTTTGGTTCGCCCAACCCAAGTTGTTTATAGATTGCATAGGTCACTAGATTTATAGTTGCCCCCAAATCACATAGAGCTTTAGCAAATTGAAGCATACCGATAGTGCATGGGATGGTGAATGCCCCCAGATCTTCTTTCTTTTTAATCATCTCTCTAGTCATATTGGCACTACAATTATGAGAAACTTCGATTGTCTCGAAGTCCATGGTTCTACTCTTGGTGACTAGCTCCTTCATGAATTTGGTATAACCCGGTATTGCCAACAATGCTTCCACTAACGGTAGATTTATAGAAAGTGTCTTGAATATTCATAGGAACTTCTTGAACTTCTCATCCTCATTTTTGCTCTTGAGACGTTGAGAAAACAAAGGACTTATTTTGGGAAGAGGTTGCATAATCTTTAGAGTTGAGGTGAAATTTTCTTTACCTTTTTGCAACTCTTCAACGGGGCTTTGCTTATGATTTTCATCCTTCTCCTTGAGCATAAAACTTGCTAGTGCTTGAATGGGCTTCTCTTCCTCATCAATATCTTTCTCTTCTTCATGAGCTTTCACCCCATCATTAACCTTTGCATTACCAACCACTATTTTTGCACATCGAGTAACAACCACCAAATCATTGTCATACTCAGTCCTAGAAGTTGTTGTGCATTAAACTTCACCCCTTTCAAATATATTAGGCTCCAATTATGTTGAAAGTTTTCCTAACTGATCCTCAAGTTGTTTGAATGCATTAGCGTGAGAATTCACTCTATTATTCAATAACGAGAAATTAGCTTTCATCTCTTTAAGCATGTCATCTGATCTTTCAACCTTGTCTAGGTTACGTGACAACAATTCATCCACTCTGAAGTTATTCAAACTGCTGTTTAATCTTGGGTTTTCACTTGATAGTAACGTCTTCGCTCTTATTCTTTATGCGATTTCCAACCTTGATTCCCACCCGCCTTAAAGTAGCTCGGGTGGGAACCCTCCTTAAGTCTCAACACTCTCCTTACTTTTTTGGGTTCACCCATATTTTCTAGCACTTATTTTTGTAACAACTTCATTTGGGAGAGCAATTTGCTAATATTCTCATCCCTCTCTTTCTCCTCGTCAAGTTGTTCTTGCGTTATCCTAAAACAAAATGGGGAAACTCGCTCCTCTTGAGTGTACCACGCCTAATTTATCTTTGTCATTTCTTCAAGAAGAGATGAGGCTACCTCAAATGACTGTATTATTATTCCTCCTCGAGACAATTTGTCAGCCACTCCTTTATTCACTGAGTCTGAACTCCAGTAAAAATACTGAAGTATCACATCACTCGGCAACCCATGAGTAGGACATTATGATAGTAACTTCTGAAACCTCAGTCAAGTTTCATGAATTGGTTCCCCTTCTACATGCTTGAAGTTTTGGATGTTATCACACAATTTCACCATATTTGAGGATGGAAAGAACCTTACATAGATTGCCTCGGTGAATTCCTCACATGATAAAATAGAGTCTCTTGATAGCTCTGATAGACATTTGGGTACATCCCCATTAAAGAAAAAAGTAACAACCGCAGCCGAATTGATTCTTGCGAAATATCCTTGAGTGAGAACAGACTGTATGTCTTCACAAAGTTTCGAATATGCTCATGGGGGTTCTCATGATAGAACCCTCCAAATATGCTTTTTGCTTGCAAGAGTTGCAGCATTGTATTTGTCATATGGAATGCAACATTGTACTCAACCGGATGTAGGGGGATAACACTTACGACCCAATAGATCTTCATTGGCAACCAAGAAATCACCAGCACCATCTTGGTGACAAAGTTGGTTCAAGGTCCTTTATTTCACACTCATCTTGTCACCTGATCACAACAACTTACAACAAAAAGGTAAGTTGATTCAACTACAACACAAATATATCATAATTTAAACTTCAATAAGAAAATTTTAAACACCACTCCCAGCAGTGGTACCATTTTGATTATCACCCAACTACAACTCATTTGAAACTAAGTGTAGATGATCATAATCTAGTATAAACCCAAAAAATGAGTTAGGGTCGATCCCACAGGAAGCGCTAAAATTTTGAATTCAATTATGAAGTTATAAACGCGATTTAAATGGTTGTAGGAATAGAAATTATCAGAAACTCTTAATTAAATGAAAAAGATGAAATAAATATAAGGTTGGGGATTTTTATATCAGTCAGCAATCACAACAATAACAATCAACATGAGTAATCAAATAAGTAAAAGGTACTTGGAGGAATGACCAACAATTTCCAATTCTCGCTTAATGGGTGCTAGGTGATTACTAAAAGTTATCAAATCTTCATGGGTATGATGGACCTTAAATGCGATAATTTTCTCCCGAACGACTACCTCACTTCAATTGAGTTCTTTAGACTTGTAACACCCCGTAGTTTAGTAGGTCAACTATAGATTGACGTGAGGATTAGAGTCATAGATTTGACCTAGCATACTTAGAATGAAGAGATAGGGGTTAAAACTTCAAGGTACAACTCTCAAAGGACCAACCAAGGGTCCTTGATGAGGACCCTAAAACTACCCTAGAACCTGCCCCAAAATAATCTACCACGAAAGGGGACCACGACCAGTAGATTGACCCACGCCCAGTGGGTGAGAGGTCGTGGGTCAAGAACCCAAAATTTTGTCCCATACAACCACCTACGGATGATCAGCACATCCCGTGGGTCCATCCACGGCCTGTGGGTGTGATATTGTGGGTGAGCCAGTGGTCAAATGTAAGTGGGTTAGTGAGGCATTAGTGGAACTTTCTAGAATTAATTAGGGGTTAAGTTGTGTTGTTTTATATTAATTTAGGACACATATATAAAGCTATTAGACCCCTAAATACATGGATCCCAATCATTATTTATATTCACCAAAGAAACCCAATTCCCTTCAAGAAATTCTCTCTCTAGAAAGTGAAGAAAGAAATAAGAAGAAAAGCAAGCTAGGTCATGTCAAGACTCCATTTTTTGAATCTTTGTAGGGATTTCTAATCAAGGTATGTTCGCTTATTCATCCATGGATTCTTCCATCTATGGAGCCCCCTAGAAATCCCCCAATTGTGAAGAGGAAATCCCCAATTCAAGGTAGGGTTCCTTCCAATATTGGGGGTTAAGTTGAGTATGAATCCAATAAAATGCATATTGATTGTTTATGATTAAATTAGTAGTGAATCATGATATTATGGTGATATTGCATGTTTCCATACTTAACCCTAGTCTAATTTATAAAATTGAAGTAATGTGGGTTTATTCCTTATGAAGGGAAATTGAGGATTCATAGGTGATCTTCTAGAATTGTTGACATGTACAGTAATTGTTCAAGAATAGAAACATGTAAACAATAATTGAATTAGTTTAAAGTAAGTATGACGGATCATGACTAGTAATGATTGAGATTGAGCCTTTATGGTGAATTATGACTTGAATTGTTTAAGAATGAAGCCTATGACTAGAATGCCTTGTAATCTAGATATGAATAATGATTGTAAGAGGTAAAGCTTTGAGAGTAAGGCTTGTAGTCATTAATGTTGGTCACTAGGGTTTGAAAGTAAAACTAATAAGATGAACTAGGAATGGTAAGGCCTTGAGAGTGAGGCTAATGTGTAGGTTGAATTGTATATGACATTATTGTGGAAGGCCTTTACTCACATGACCTATATTATGAAAGTATGAGATTATGCATGTTCTTATAGAACCTATGTAACTGCTTTATGAACACTTTGAGAGTGAAATGTCTATGATTATGATATGTAGATGGGTTGATTGAAAGGCTATTCTCATGAACACATAATGAACATGATGTGAAAGGGTTATTCACATATAATGATTGTAGGTTGAAAGGGTTTCTCACCTAAAATGAATCAAGCATGCTAGACTAGTGTAGCTTGAAGTTGTGACATAAGATCCCTTCATGAATAGCTTGACTTGGTAAGACAAGACCAAGATTCGTAGCTTGAGTTAGTCATTTTCATGGTAGCCTAGGATTGAGAAATATACTCTTCCGAAGGGTATCTTACACTAGTATCATAAAATACTTGCATGATAGCATGAATTGGTTAGGCCAAACCATTTCATTGGTAGCTAGGGTGGTGAAATAATACCCTTCCTTGTATAGCTTGGACTTGCATGATAGTGTGTTTTTCCATGGTTGCTTGGTCTAATCCAATATGGTGACTATTCCTGTGTAGCATGGTCTAGACTAAATGGGTGCTATTCTATGGTAGTCCAGAAATTATAAATAGTATCATTCATGTATGATAGCCTAGAGTTGTACTTAATTTGGTTAGGATTATGGGGTCTTATCCATGCATTGCACAAGCATGACTTCAAGCTAATTATGAAGTGTTTCTCTTTTATGATGTATGCATAACATTGATTGTTGCTATAGTTTCATTCCATGAGGTGTTGACTAAAGGTGAAGATTCCTTTGTCTATGAGAAGTAAGCTAAAGATGAGACCATGAGATGGTAAGTATGATTATGATGGCCAAAGGGGATACATAGAATGTATGGGATTATGGGGTCTCATTCATGCATTGCATAAGTATACTTGGAGGTTGACTTATGAAGTTGTTCTTTTATGATATTAAGGTCTAAGTATTGACTATGTATATGGACCATGCCTTATGATGACTAATGCTTATATTATGTCTATGTTGGAGATTATGCTTATGGTTATGTTATTATGTGTTATGCTTATGACTTGTGTCTTATGTTGGCTAACACTTTTGTTATGCTCTTATGATGTTATGCTAGCTAACATAATTAGTACATGTTGTACTAACGCATACAATTACCTACATTCTTATCAACTGTAGGGTCTGATGGTCTTCAGTTCGCTCTTCAGTTCGCTCTTTGAGGCTAGGTTCTTTGTAGGAGCAATGAGTTGAAGATTGGTGAGTCCTCATAGAATCGAGGATAAAACCACCATTTCCTTTATGTCTTTTCTTTATGTTAAAAGACTATTGTATGGGCTGCCTCCCAAGAGTTATTCAAAGTTGTTTTACATGGTTGAGATAAAGTGTTATAGACTTCCGCTTGCTTTTATAAAGACTTCTATTTTATGGAACAAAGTTTTAAAATTTCCACATCATTTCTATTTATCTTATGTTGTGATATGCTAAGTGGCTTGTGTTAGGCCTTTCAGGGTCTAGTACTCCATGTTACACCTAATGTGTACCCCTGGGTCGTGACAAACTTGGTAATCAGAGCACAAGGTTTTAGAATGATTCTAAGATTGTTTCAAAACCACGTCTAGTAGAGTCTTGTTCATAAATGTGAAGCACGCCACATTTATGAATGGGAAGCTATTAGATGATTAGGAAATCTCATTTCTTCATTCTCTAAGTCGTTCCATAGAGTTTAACTCTATAAGGTCTTTCTCCTAATCCATTCCCTATGGTTTTCAGGATATGGCTAACACAAGGGCAAATGCTAGAAGGAATGAGGAAGACATAGTAGATCAAGACGTTCATCCCCAAACTCTAAGTAGCCCAAGGGAGAAGAATGTCAAAAATGCAGAGTTTAGGTCAGCAAACGAAATGTTGGCCCAAGCCATTATGACACAAGTGAATAAGGAGGTAGTAGCTCTGGTGAATCCAATAGTGGGTATGGCTACTTCTAGGGTAAGGGATTTTATGAGGATGAATTCTCCAAAGTTTTATGGCTCTAAGGTGGAAGATGATCCTAAGGGGTTTATAGATTAGGTTTATAAGGTACTTGCTATCATGGGGGTGACTTTAGTAGAAAAAGCGGAGCTAGCCGCTTACAAATTGAAAGATGTTACTCAAGTGTGATATGAACAATGGAAAGATGCTAGGTTGGTAGGAGCGGGTCTAATAGAGTGGGAAGTTTTCAAACTAGTATTTCTTGATAGGTTCTTTCCCCGAGATTTGAGGGAAGGTATAGAAGAGTTCATTAACCTTTAGCAAGGTCGCATGAGTGTTAAGGAGTATGCCTTGAAATTCACCCAACTATCTAAGTATGATTCATCTATGGTATTGGATTTGAGGGATATGATGAGTAGGTTTTTGACGGGTGTGTACGACATAGTAGGAAAAGAAAGTCGTACGACAATGCTTCATCATGATGTGGATATCTCATGTCTTATGGTTTATGCCCAACATATGGATGAGTCAAAACTCAAAAAAGAGAAATCTAGGGACAAAAATAGGTCTAGGTTGGATAATAATAAGTCCTTTCATGATGGGTCCGATGGACATGGTCGCTCTAAGAGTCGACAAAGGTTTTCCGGACAAGGTTCTTTTAGGAATCCTAAGTATAAGAAAGAGAGGGTGTCTAACCCTACGCCACCCAGAATTAGTAATGATTCCCTATGGCCTACTTGTTCTAGATATGGAAAGAGACATGAGGGTAGGTGTTTGGCCGGTAGAGAAGGTTGCTTTAGTTGTGGTGAAAGTGGCCACAAGATGACAGATTGCCCAAAGGCAAATAGAAGAGAGGGTAAACAAGTTGCTCCTAGTGGTTTGGATGAGAATACCCAAAAGAAGAATAGGTTTTATGCTCTTCAAGCTAGATATGAACAAGAGTGACCTACAAATATTACTAACAGTATGTGTTTTATGCTTTATTCGATTTCGGTATTGTTTGGTCTTTTGTGGCTTTATATGTTATACTTTGAAGTTATCTTTAGTATGTATGGTTCTTAGAAAGT